GGACCTGGACCCAGACCCAGACCCAGACCCAGACCCAGACCCAGACCCAGACCCAGACCCGGACCAGGACCCAGACCTGGACCCCCACCCAGACCCAGACCTGGACCAGGACCCCCACACAGACCCAGACCCAGACCTAGACCCAGACCCGGACCTGGACCCAGACCTGGACCTGGACCCAGACCCAGACCCAGACCTAGACCTGGACCTGGACCGAGACCTAGACCCAGACCCAGACCTGGTGGACCCCGGTGACGTCCACCTGGAGCTCCACGATTTCTCACAGTCGTCCACAAATATATCTACTTTTTATTTTTAGTGGCTCTTAAGAGACCGAATTAAACTAAACTTGGACAAAAAAAATGACCTGCTTGAGTCGTTGTACTTCTGTAGCTAAACTTAAACCTTTAAAATGATTCATGATGTCACAAAACTGCAAATTTGTTTGGATTTTTGTTTTCTTTTTTTGGTTAAAACAGGCAGAGAAATTGGCTGCAACAATCTTAACCCTTTAAAGCCTGATCCAAGAATAAAACAAAACAGAAAATTACTTTTTTTGGTTTGAATTCCTTATTTGGCCTTTTAAAATGAAATTTTTATATTAATAATTTATTACTATGCGATAGGTCAAGATTATTTTTTGTGTAGTCTTCTGCCCCCTGTTATCAGGTGTATCTAAATGTGTAAAATAGGATTTTGAGCAAAGTTTTTACCATTAAATTATGCGAAAGGTGTCAGACGCAAAACATTTCAAAAACCGTATGAATCTAATATGATACATTTGGCATTACAGGGTTAATGTTTCCAAAGGCCCAGTGGGATAAAACGCTTCATCCAAAGGAGCCCTTTTACTCTAATTTGGCTTTAATTTCCCATAACAAGGTTAAAAAAAACAAGTTAAAAATACACTCTTGTGGATTATTGTTGTCTGACCGAAGAAAACAAAAAGCATGACTATCACTGTTGAAGACAAGAAGAACTTAACACAAGTAAGTGGCCTTAAAAGTGACGTTGGGATTAGAAACGGGCGCAAATTGAGGCAGAAATCAGACAGAAGTCTCAGTTCAAACACTTTTATTTGGCCTCTGGAGTCGTTTGGTACTTAATATACAGGATATTTACAGAAGCAGAGCAGCACTGGGGCCCTGTTGGGGGGCAGGCAGCGCCTTTTTCGGGCCTTTTCCGGCTTTTTCCGCCCTTTTCCGGACTTTTCCGGCTGAGCTTCGATCCGCTTCGGGCGCCCGTTTGGTTCATCTGCGCCAATACTGCAGAAAAGGGAGGAAACGGGCTCAGATCGGACCCTTAAACACGTGTCAGGGTGGTAATAAAAGCCCAGATTGGGTCGATTCGAGTCATAAAACGAGAGTTTTAACACTGTCCAGCTTCCAGCTCAGTCTGAGAGTTGGAACATGCACATTTTGGCTGATTTGATCAGTTTTACATTAAGATTTGATAAGATCCAGCTGGAAATATGCACAAAGAATCCCTTAAAATGCAAAAAATAATAATTAATTCCATTTAAATGAGTAATTTCTTCATTTGTTTAAGATTAGATAAGAACTTTATTGATCCAGCTGGAAACATGCAGAAAGAATCCCTTAAATTACCAAAAAATAATAATTAATTCCATCTAAATTAGTAATTTATTCATTTGTTTGAGACTAAATAAGAACTTTAATGATCCAGCTGGAAAATGTGCACAAAAAATCCCTCAAAATGAAAAAATATACAGTTATTCCCTTTGATTTAGTCATTTCTTCATTTGTTTAAGATTACATAAGAACTTTATCGATCCAGCTGGAAACATGCACAAAGAATCCCTTAAAAATGCAAGTAATTATATTTAAATGAGTAATTTCTTCATTTATTTAAGATTAGATAAGAACTTTAATGATCCATCTGGAAAATGCACAAAGAATCCCTTAAATTGCCAAAAAATAATAATTAATTCCATTTAACTTAGTAATGTCTAAATTTATTTAAGAATAAATAAGAACTTTATTGATCCAGCTGGAAACATGAAGACAGAATCCCTCAAAATTAAAAAATAAACTGACTTATTCCCTTTGATTTAGCCATTTCTGGACCTTTTTTTCTTTGGGAAAGAGTTTTATTATCTGTCGGTGAAAACTCACCTGAGCGAATTTGTGAATCTGCTCGACCACGGCGGCGAACAGGGCGCCCACGCTCTCGTCGATCAGACTCTGCATGTAGTGGACGGCCTCCTCGTCCGAGAGGTCCAGCCGAAACTTATCCTGGACCTGAGGGACAAACGGGACAAACCAAACCTTCATCCTCCCCCTCTGAGAATATATCTCATCTTCCACCGTGTCACGTCTGGTGTCTCGTCATGTCTTGATTACCTATTGTTTACACCTGGGGTTCCCCTCCCTCATGTGTTTAAATAGTCCTCGTTTCCCCTTGTCTTGTGCCAGTGCGTTCTTGTCCGTTTCGTCTTCTGTCTTTCGTCACCCCCACGCCAGGTTTGCTTTTTGTCATAGTCACAGTTTTTGCCACAGCTTCGTCACAGTCTTGTTAATCTTTATTTTGTTACTTTGTCACAGTCATAGTTTTGCCTCAGTCTTGTTGTTCTTTATTTAGTTACTTTGCCTTTGCTCACAGTTTTCCACAGTCTTGATTTGTACTTTGTCTGGACGTTGACTCTTCAAGAGTGTTTTTTGTTGCAATAAACCTTGTCTTCCGTCATCTCCGCACCTGAGTCCTCCCATCAAAACCCACCCGCCTGACACACCGTCGGTAAAATAAAAAAAACGAGCTGTTTCAGTGGTGTTTGTATCATATTTGTTTGTATAAGATCATAGTTTTATTAACTCATTGGCTGCCAAAGACGTCTATAGATGTCTTTTATGTTTTTCAACGAGAATGGCTTGGGGGACGATCTGCTAAAGCTTGTCCGTAAATATCAGGCTTCTAGACAGAGTATGTAGTAACAAATTGACCCTCTAGGGGGCAGTGCCACTTTTGATGGGAGATGAGCATAGACTGTAGGCAAATAAGAAAAAGGTAACGGTTCGCTATGAGAGAACATGTCGCCGGTGAGACGCAAGTCCAGGAAGAACGGAATAAGGTAAAAACCACATTTTTTTCCTGATGAAAGAAGAGAGTCTACTCTTTCTTTTGGTGTGTTCGGTGTTTACATAGTCATAGCACAAACTATTCTGTGGCTCTTGAAAAATCAGTCAAAATGCTCAAAAACCTCTGGCAGTATGGGACTCTGTTCTGAAAATGGCTGCCAGCCAATGAGTTGGCTTTTCTTTTCATGAACACATTTCAACACATTCCTTATTTTAGAACAGGATGAACTTTGATATGTTGGTGGTTTTCTCCCTTCAGAACCTTCCAAAGCACTTTTATTGCACTAGGATTAACATTAGAATTAGACTTAGACTTCCTTTATTGTCATTGCACAAAAAACACCAGGTGAATCTTGACAACGAAATATCATCACTTGGCTACCAGTGTAACAGAGCTATGACCTTATTCCTACACAATAAATATGTTTTCTATAACTAAGCACTAAGAGCTAGCTATATACAGGGTAAAGAAGTATATATATATATATATACATATATATTGCATTGAGTTATTGCAAAAAGTAACATTAAGTTGAACTTCACATCAAGGTAATCGAGGGGATTTATTAAGTGGTAGAAATGTATTCTAAAATGGTATTTTCCAAAGCAACTTGGTTTCTTCTGAAGTTTAAAGCCCCTCTAATTTCCAAAATATGACGTATTACGGTATATTTGCCGAGTTTGTTGTTATCCGTTTATCTGGTCCTGCGTTTGTGTTTGGGGAAAGGAAAACAGACCCACCTTCTTGACCGTTTTGTCGGGCTCCAGAGCGATGTCGGGGATGTTGGCGTCCACCATGAGAGAGAACAGGTTCAGGATCAGGTTGGAGTATCTGCGGAAAACGGGAGGAGCTCACTTCGCTTTATGGGATTTTTTGACATTTTTTATGCTAAATTACCAAGTAAAACGAAACAAATGGAAGCAAGAGGTCTCCTAAAATCCACCAAGGGGCTGAAAAGGACTCAATCTAGACTTTATCTTGGAAAAAGAGAGAGATATGTCGGGGGGGGGGGGGTTTAATCCCTTGAGTGTCTTTGTAATTGTTGTTC